TTTTTTTCCCCCGCAGCCAAACGCCGCACGCCGGAGATCCTTTAACTTTAAGCCCTGATTACATTAATGAGAGTAAAATACAGATATTTGTATTTTAAAATTCAACTTCAATTCTTAAAATAAAACAACTTACTAATTTATGATTGTTTTTGTTTTTTTAAATCTTTTGAATTCGGGCCGAAATCTGACCTATAAATATGAATGAACATTTCATCTTCAACATGTTGTATGTGCGTTTTGAGCCTGTCTTGTTCATTATTGTATTGTTTGATTTCTCTAGATCCAGAGCAGCACTTTTAAAATTCAACTTCAATTCTTAAAATAAAACAACTTACTAATTTATGATTGTTTTTGTTTTTTTAAATCTTTTGAATTCGGGCCGAAATCTGACCTATAAATATGAATGAACATTTCATCTTCAACATGTTGTATGTGCGTTTTGAGCCTGTCTTGTTTCATTATTGTATTGTTTGATTTCTCTAGATCCAGAGCAGCACTGTTTTGATTTCACTGATTTCACAGACCGCGTCTTTCTTTCTCCAGCAGACAATAATGCAGCACAAATGTTGTTGTTCGGTTCGCTCCGATGCGGTCGCTTTGAACAAGACACAGAACGAGAAGATCCGAACAAACGCTGCTCTTCATCTTGATAATATAAACGCAGAATAGGACGATATACAGTCAATTCTGAATTGCACGATATAAACTCAGAATTGCACGATACAAACTCAAAAACGCAAGATATGAGGGGGCTGTACAAGCCATAATTCATAATTCATTCATTCATAATTCATTCATACATTTCTTGTTTCGAGTGAAAAATTTAAGGGGGTCTGAATACTTTCCGTACCCACTGTATATACACTTTTACTTTTCAACACATACATGTATTCTGACTTTCATTTACACTTCCACACATACGTATTCTTTATTTTTACATACCTACATTCTAACATGCATATACATATATTTTAAATTTCACATATGTATATGTTTCTTACTCGTATGCATGCATGTCTGATCTTTTTTATCCATTTCTTCCTCTTTAAGCAGGAAATACATGTGCAAGACTGGCTCAACTCATCCTAACACAACTATACAATTATGCTCTTCAAAGCCATCCGGTTTTCTTTTCAAGTACTTTTTTTTATTTTTATTTTAAAATATCATTATATAACCCACTTGTTCTACAGCTATGTACAAAGGATGCACTGATCAGGATTTTTTTGTGACCGATTCCAATTGCCGATTTTTTTTTTACAATAAAATGGGCCAATTCCCATACTCGTTGCCAATTTCTTTTTTCATTTATTAATTGTAATAGATTAATTTATGACAAGAGTGCACCTCAAAACATATACACCATAACAGGAGCTCTGACCTTTGTCACAAAAAATTCTATTCGTTTCCTTTTTTCCTGTTATGGTGTATATGTATATACTATCAATATATTCTATCACGTTTTAGTAATCATCATATATTATATATCATTTGAAAGCTTAAAATCTCAAAATTCATCCTGTGAAAACCGTTTTGAAATCAGACATTGCGTTACCATAGAAATGGACCTTAAAATCTTTTTAGTGCGGGGTGTCATATTCCAAATGTATCACGGTCTTTTAGAACCAAAACTTTTTAGAATCTTGACAAAATGCATATCATCGGAAAGGTCTGAGTCTCAAGATTCAAGATTCCATATTTGGTGGTTATTTTGTGATAGGAGTAATACTGAGAGAGAAATTTATACATTTGTGACAGAAAAATGCATCAAAAAAATTCAATGGGGTTTGGATGGCACCTGGTGGCTGTTTGTGGTATAACACCTAAACAAAATTGTATAGTAACCTCAATTTTTTTTGTATCAACTTCAAATTTGGAACACAACTTATTTAAACATGGCTTTAATTTTATGCTGAATTTGGATTAAAACCTATTTTGTCAAATATTTATTTTATATAAAATAAAATAAAAATAGTATAGTACATTTTCTTTACAGTAAATTAACTTCTATAAAAAAAATTTAACTTTCATTTTTTGAAATGATTTCACTTCTGCAATAATCTGCTGATTGTCTTCTTTAAAAGAGACCAACCTTAGGTCTGTATTCAAAAGCATTCAATATTTTATTATTACTGTTTTATTACCTTATTTATATGTATATCTGCACTATGTCTGTACTTTCTGTACTGGAAGCTCCTGACACCAAGACAAATTCCTTGCATGTGCAATAAAGCTCTTTCTGATTCTGATGAAAAGGCAAATTCACTTTCTGACAGCAGGTGGCGCTTATAGAACAGCAGCGGCGATAACCCCCACCCCAATTCAATATTTATGGTTTTCTTCCAGTATTTTGAGCATCTCAAACAATGCATTTGTTCTGTCTGGTACAGTATTTATCTGTATTATCTCCTCTTCGTGTCCGTCTTCAGTGCATATTTCTTACAGATAATATCATGATGATCACTACATGTCAGGAATAACTATGCGCGCTCTCACACATGCATATATTCTTCTCTTACACATACATATTTTCTTTAGACATACATGCATTTTCTTCTTACACATTTATTTTGTATAATATTAAATGTATATTTTGAATACATTTGCATAAGAGCAAAATCTATAAATGTGTGCGTAAAGTATATGAATATAAGAGGTAAATATATAAATGCGTGCATTAAAATGTGACTGTGAGAGCAAAAATGTATGAATGTGAAAGGAGAATGGAAGTGTGTGAAAGTAGAAATATATGTATGTGAAAAGAGAATATAAGTGTGTTAGAGCGCCAGAATGAATTATGGCTTGTATGGCCCTTCGTAGTAAGAAACTCTGAATTGGACGATATAAACTCAGGGTTGCTGCAGGATGTTTAAGCTCAAATTTAAGACTTTTTTACATTAATTTAAAAATGCACTAAACAAATATAAGCTATAATGTTTTTGTTATGTGAAATAATTTTTTTTTCATATATTATTTTCAGACGTGAGCAGACCTGTACTCACGTAATTAACGTTACGCATTTAACGAACACTTACAAGCGCGCACTTTGGCAGAATTCAATTCAAATAGTCATCAGCAGCCATTAGTTCGGTAAAATTGAGCCTCAGAATGGACACATTTGTTATTAAGGGAGAAAAATGAAATCAGGTGTTTTAGTAATGGTGAGTAGAATTATTTCTTTATTTATTTCAATGAATGTAATCGATTCGATATCATAATATTTAGGCTATAATATTATAATTCTGGTTGGTTTGTATTGGTGACGTAATATGTAAATGATATGCGGCCCGTGAGACTTGCACTTGGACCAACACGAAGTCTTTCTTTCCAAGAAAACTGAATTTAAAACCAGAATTTATAGAATATATTGAAATAAATTAGGTTAAATATTTCAAGAGGGTTACCAACGGGTATGTTTTATTATTAATTAATTTATACAATTAAACAACTACTTAATTCCTTAAAAATAATAATATACAGAATTGAATAGCAAGTGCTATAAAATAGTATGAGACGCTGATACATACATACAAAAAATAAATAAAATAATAATAAAAAAACTATAGGGTCCTAGAAATGTGGTCCTGAAACTACAGCCTCCAGTATTGCAGGAATACCCTACTCACAACAGGCTTATTGAAAATGCACATTCATTCTCTGCCAGCAGAAGGCGCTTTCGTAACAGCAGACCTATAACTGTTTCCCCGGTAACCGCAGACCTATATCCGTTTCCCTTGTAACAGCAGACCTATAACCGTTTCCCCGGTAACCGCAGACCCTATATAACCATGTATGTGACAAATAAAAATCTTGAATCTTGAACTTCTCATTTCAGGCTTTAAACCATTTTTAAGAAAATCGATGAGTCAAATTATTATATTAATTAAATAACATACAAACACATTTTACTGTTTAGATTTTTATAATGAGTTATCTACTTATTGATCCACTAGTTCACATTTACAGCTCTGCGTGTTTGAAGGGTAAAAACATGGGTCGATTTTCACATTGGTCTGAACAAAAACAACCCAATGTTCCTGCTTTCTAGGACCCTACTTTTTTGTGACAGCGCCATCTAGCCAATTCTATTCCACTAGAGGAGACCCGATTCAAACATCAAACACACATCAGACGTGAAGCTGCGCTGCGGCTAATGAACTGAAGTCTTGCATATAACCTCGCACACACGAAGTCTTTCTTTCCAAGAAAACTGAATTTAAAACCAGAATTTATAGAATATATTGAAATAAATTAGGTTAAATATTTCAAGAGGGTTACCAACGGGTATGTTTTATTATTAATTAATTAATTTATACAATTAAACAACTACTTAATTCCTTAAAAATAATAATATACAGAATTGAATAGCAAGTGCTATAAAATAGTATGAGCCGCTGATACATACATACAAAAAATAAATAAAGGATTATTGAAAATCCACATTCATTCTCTGCCAGCAGAAGGCGCTTTCGTAACAGCAGACCTATAACCGTTTCCCCGGTAACAGCAGACCTATAACCGTTTCCCCGGTAACCGCAGACCTATAACCGTTTCCCCGGTAACCGCAGACCTTTTAACCGTTTCCCCGGTAACCACAGACCTATAACTGTTTCCCTATATAGACCTATAACGCAATTGCATGATATAAACTCCGAACTGAAACAAACTCAAAATAGCGAGATACAATCTCAAACGCAAGATATACACAACTGTAAGAAACTGAATTGTGAAACAAAAGAATTGTGCGATATAAACTCAGAATATATACTTTTTTCTTAGCAATCCTGAGTTTATATTTCACAATTATGAATTTATATCTTGCAGTTGAGTTTCTCAGAATTGCGATAAAAAATGTTGCAGTTACCTTTTCAATTTTTTTTTCTGTATTGCATAAAGTGCTATAGAAATAGATACTTGACAAATCAAACAGAAAAGCTGAAATCTGTTTACATTGATCTGCTCAACAGGAATCCATCCAGTGGCACAAAGTTCCTATAGTTGAGGAAACTCCCACATACGAGCCTTTACAGAAACAGACTGAGAATATGAATGTGAAAGCTGGTGGTTTCCACATACGCACGTCTGACACTGATCTGATAAACCCACGAGCGTTTGGAGCACTTTGCGATATTTATGCGCCTCGGTTCTGCTCTTTACGGTCATATTTCCAATCAGAGCTGGAATCCGGTGCACGGCGGTGCCAAGCGCTTGGCCATTTACTCTGAGAGGAGCCGCCGTCTGTACACAAACGTCAGGACTCAGTCATGGAAACGGTCTCGTTGTGCTCGTAAACTCGTACCAACTCTAACCTCATCCTGAGCCGCAGACATAACAGCGGACGTCTCTGCTCACCTGCTTGGTCTTTGACCTGCTGATCGTGTCTGAAAGAGGCTTCTTCTTCTCTTTCACTGCAGTTTTGGAGAAGAGATCGACAAACTCGTCAAAATCCACGGATGGCTCTTCGATCTTCTCCCACACGAGAGCATGAGAGTCCCTGCGGAGGAAAACAGACTTTAGAGGAGAAAAAGACCTGCTTTATCAACAACTCCTCAGAAAAAGAAAAACACATGGCAATCTTTTTACAAAAGAAAGAAAGAAAGAAACAAACAAACAAGACAATTAAATGAATAAATGAAAAAAATGAAAAAAATATCTAACAAAACAAATGAAACAGACAAAAACTAGAAAAGAAAACAAAAACAAAGAAAGAAAATTAAATGAAAGAAAGAAAATTACGAATGAATGAATGAATGAATGAATGAATGAACGAAAATCAAACAAAAAAACAAGAAAGAAAAGACAATTAATTGAAATCAATGAAAGAATTAAAAAATTTTCCTGAACTCTCATTAACAAAATTCAATTCAGTAAACTCATTGCTGAATTAAATAAAAACAAATAAATTAAATGTTTGTTAATTTATTAAAGCATTCGTTAATTTATTATTATTTATTATAAATATAAAAACATTTTAATAAAAAAAAAAAATCAACAGCTGAAATCAACATGTTCATCATTTACAGTAATTAATATTGACCGTGTGAGTCATGCTATAATGGGTGGTGTTGCTAGGGCACTGCATTTGGTTGCTAGGGTGCTCTAAGTGCTTTCCTTCTGACTAGAATGTAAAGTGTGTTCTGGTCTGTAGATGTGGCTCAGGTTCCTCCTCTGTATTTTTCATCTGTTTTATGGTTCAGCAGCTGAAAATGGTGCATCTGATCACTCAAATCACTAACTATAAGCACTAGTGAGCAATAATGATTATTGCCTTATTAAAAACTACAGTAACTATGGTATTCTGGTAATTAGTGTGAGGGGAACCGATCAAAACAGCAGCAGAACAAAATGAAGAAATGACTGTAGAATGATGGTACTTTTTGGTGTGCAGCTGTATTCGGGTCCAGTACAGCGGTTTCATTGGTCTCGGTGGCTCCACCAAGCTTTTGCGAGGCGGTTTCTCCTGCGGAGCTCCTAACGCGTACAGACCCAGCGGGAGCGGCGGAGGCAGAGAACCCAAACCGAAGGCCAGAGGAGGACCAGGAGCCAACGGCGGAGGACCTGGAGGAGGAGGAGGAGGAGGAGGCGCACCCATTCCTGGTAGAGGAGGCGCAGGAGGAGGCGCAACCACTCCTGGTAGAGGAGGCGCAGGAGGAGGCGCAACCACTCCTGGTAGAGGAGGCGCAGGAGGAGGCGCAACCACTCCTGGTAGAGGAGGCGCAGGAGGAGGCGCAACCACTCCTGGTAGAGGAGGCGCAGGAGGAGGTGCAACCATTCCTGGTAGAGGAGGTGCAGGAGGAGGCGCACCCATTCCTGGTAAAGGAGGTGGAGGAGGAGGAAATGAACTGCCTGGCGGAGGAGGTGGTGCAGAAAGAGCGCTCATTCCTGGAAGTGGAGGTGGAGGAGGAGGTGCACACATCCCGGATGGAGGAGGAGGTGGTGGTGGAGGAGGCACCGAAGCGCCCGGCAGCTGCTGGCACATGCACACAAACGCTTGAGAAGCATTCTCAGTTTCTGATGGCAGCGAGGAGTCACTCCTCCCGGGCCCCTGCGCCTCCACAGGAGAAACTTTAAACCTAAAGCTCTCCTCCATGGGAGACGTCTGCACCGATTTGGCCTCCAGCGGCAGCAGCGCAGTGTTCTCTGTCTGCAGGTCCACATGGCAGACGTCCGGGAGGAGGCGCTCCTCTCCTCCGCACTCCTGGTCCTGTGTCAGCAGCACCTCCCGCTCCAGCAGGGGCTGCTGTTTCTCCAGCTCGGCGATCTTACTGCGCAGGTCTTCGATGGTCTGCTCCAGCTGCTCGATCACGCAGACGTGCTCCTGCTTCAGATGCACCGTCTTTATCATAGACTCCTCCTGCGGAGACAGAGACAGGCGTGATGAAAAGCAGACCAACGCCGCAGACAGAAACAGACATAAATCTGAGCTTCTCGTGCACTGGATTCCGCGAAGTCACTCGCGTTCGTGTCACGCGGTTAAACGTGTTTCCTGTGGGAAGAAACAATGCTGAAGTGTGGACCGAACTGATGAGGAGCAGCTGCTTTCAGACTCAAAACACAACAATAGATGCCCACAGTCCTCTGAATTCAACAGACCCCGGGGGAGACACCCCACAGGACCTAATAGAGAGCAGCACACACGAATGTTTAATGAGAAACACTGTGAGAGAATGAACAGAGAGAGAGCATCGCCCTGCTCGTCTCTTAGTGGCTCTGACAGAAGTTTTCAATCAGTATTGCCAGGCTAATATTTAGCAGGAATGCTTGTTCAAATATATTTATGCATTTTTCATAAATATAAAATACATTATTTTATTTTATTCAAATAAAAGTAAAACATTTACATAATTATATAAAATTAATAGTTATTAATAAGCATTAAAGACTAAGGTATTAATTTATATAAACAATTAATTATTGCTAATTGTGTATAAAATTCTTTATATATTATAGTAATAATCTGAAATATTTAAATATCAATTATTTATATAAACCTATTAAGGCCATTATTAATCATTAATTGTGTGCATACAATTATTATTAATAATTTTATAATAATTGCTTATTTAAATTTTATTTTATAAAAGTTTATTTAAACAAAAACAAAGTATTTACATAATCATATAATAATAATAGGTAATTAAATACATTTCATATTATATATAATGTAAACAAATGCATATAATTAATTATTCATAGTAATATATTTAATATTGTATCATGTAAATGTAAATTAACTAATAATTCATATTTAATAATTGTTAATTGTATATAGTTATTTTGTGTGTACATAATGTATTTTTGAAAAAATGAATATACATTTTAAAATTATTTATATTAATAAAATTATCGAATTAAATTATATTTTATAGCATTTTATTTAAACCATTTACACACACATATACATACACGCATATATATATATA